TTATGGGAGGTCTAGCCGCTCAACGAACCCAAGGCCTCGGTACATATAAAAGACAGATTGACAAGTCCCAAATCTCGGAACCTAAATTTGTTTCCTCCACTTCCAATGTGCCTACAGTTGGTCTTGCTCCCGGCGTCAGTCTTAGCAATGGAGCTTCAACGCCACCCATACCGCCCATGAACCCACGACGAAGACGTCAAACCACCACACAGACGATCCTAAACGCATTCAAGCACTCGGACAAGAGTGACGATTCACTCATACCTTCGCCAACCCCTACAGCCCAAAACGAAGAGAATAGTCTGTTTTCGGACGAAGAAAAGCGATCGCGACCACGGCAACGATTGCGGAAAATATCGAGTGAAGGGGGCAACCTCAATGCCAAAGCTCGCCAGCAGGCGATGAATACCAGCTCTCCGGCGCTTCCTCAATTCCCGAAAAAGGCGCCGGTGGAGGGAGGCATGTTTTGATAACATCTACCTCAATTTAAGATAGCACGGCCTGGATTTAGAGCCGCGAATTACCAATCAATCATTCAAGGCAGAGTATTGCCGCCTTTTCGTTTCATGCTGTATTGATCTTATGTTTCATTTGGGCATGGCCCATTGGATACTCTGTTGTTTAACTCCTCCTTTTCTTGTGTATAGTATATTATGTCTTTATTTTAAACAAGGAAAATAAGCGATTTGCATGTTATTTCCATTCTTGTTATTTTACTTTTATTGTTTCCCCCTTAGGGCCTCCCCCGTTTTATTCTCTGTCTACAGTTGTAAAAACTACTCCGAATGTATTCATCAGGATCTACCTACATATAGCACTCTCATTTTTGTCCTTCCCCTACAAGTATTGAACCTCGTCTCTAATTTGACTACAAGGCCAAAGTGGATAATTAGTTGGCAAATAATGCCAAAATTGCAAAAACACTTTCTGAGCTTCGACCAGTAATTCCAGTGCAGCAATCGTACTTGCATTGCCACAATTATTTTCCCACTCCAGAATCCCAAACATATGCATAGACTCCTGATTTTTATGTTCGTTATCTTGAGCGCAAGTCACTGAGGGAGCAAGTCACCCAGGCACCTAGGTATTCTTTAGGTGGGTAAATTCACAGGGCAATTATCACCGTTTGCCAGAGTACTGGTAGGTTACAATAGCCTTTGTCCTTTATTCTACTTTCGTCTTACACCCTCGTCAACGGTCAACTTTGACTCTTCTTCTGGCCATCCTCAAATTTCAAAGTACCATAGGGGGCCAAGTTGCGCCGTGCCCTGCCGTCACCCCCGTCCCCAACCCCTATCGAGCCCCTTTTCTGCGCCTAAGGACGGGACGGAACATCCTATCTCCGACGACTTTCAACGACCGCAGCCGCAATCCACGTCCAAATCGGGTTATCTCGCAACCTCAAAATTGCTCCTTTGGGCCGTGGTTGCTCGACTAACCGTAGAATAAGCGTGGAAATCACTACTAACTCCCAGCTATTGAGGCATCCTACTCCAGAGAACGGGAAACTCTCTATTTCACTTGTTGATCTCCTCCTATAGTTTGTTAAGGGCATTGCCAGTGTCCTTCATTCTTTTCGGTTTCTTCTTCTTTCTTTTGTTGATTTGTACTCTTATGTTCATTGTGCGAACATTCCATCAGTCGTTTTCTTCTTCCTTTCTTATCTTTCTGTGTTTGCACTGATCCTCACACTCGTTTCAGAGGGCCCTCCCTTCTCCTAGGGAGCTGCCATTGGGACCGCAGCTCAGCCAAACAAAAAGAGAGAGAAACTGTGCGGCACAGTGGCATTGTTTTTATTTTTCTTTGGTCACCACGTCCTATCCTCAGCTCCCCAATCTACTCTCATTGTCCAGCACATTCTCTTACCCGTGTCATTCTTTAACATTCCTTTGGACCACAAAGCGAACCAGCCGGATTAGGGATGCCAAAGAAAAAGCCGCGCCCACCATCGGCCAAAGCCAGGTCTAAAAAACCCACTGATGAGGCCACTTCTCAGAATAAATCCAGCTCAGGAGACAACCACGCGGACGCGCCTAATAATGGCAATTCGGGCCAGAATCCCAATGCCAGAAACCAGAAGTACCGCAGAATCGTTATAAGGAATAGTAGGAAGAAGGGCAAGGCCGGGAAATCTGAGAGTGACGGCGGCTCGCAGGCGTCTAGGGACACAGAGTCTCGGCAGGCAAGGCAGATCGGGGCAGAGGCCCTGCTTGAACTTAGCCAGATGGCGGACACGGGGACTCTTCCTGGGCCCCTGATTGTGGATGGAAATACACGGTCCGCAACCTTGCTCTCTCCGGAGTCGTCTCAATATCCCACTCCTGGAAGCGAGGAATCGGGGCAAACTGGTATGCACTCTTTGAATTGCCTCTTATTTCTGCTGTTCTTGGTAACTAACAAAGTTGACGCATAGTGCCTCCTGATTTTGTTTCGTCCCGTCCAGCCCAGCCTCCGTTGAGCACATCATCGCCGGTACCGGTCCTAGAAGCTCAGGCAAATCTCCAGGCCCAACTTCCTGTTCTTGGCCATGGGATAGAGTTTGGAAACTACTCCGATTCCTTCAGTACACGTTCAGATACTCGGTCGGTCTACCAGGGACCACCTCATCCATATCCCATGCAGTTTGCGAATCAATACCCTACCCAGCACAATCCACTTCAGAACTGGATGGGACCAAATCAATATCAAGAGCACCCAGATCCGGGGTTTCGCAGCACTGGACCATATTATTATTATGGCCAACCCACATACTCAGACCATACGTTTTCGAGCCCCGCGATACTGCCATATAACCCAACAATCGATTACCCTCCATATGAAGCAGCCAAGGCATCCCTTGATGATGAAAATCGCGATTGGGCCAAGGAAACCACGTTACCTTCAGATAGACCGCCGTCCATTTCACCAACGACCGCAAGTAGCCACACTCTGGATAATGTGCCGAGAGTTGCTTCCACGCCCGACCCTACTCGCCGATGTTTGTCAACTCCTCCGCCACGAAAGGAGCCGGATGTTCACAACTATTTTTTCCGCAGTCCCCTTGATGATTCCAGCAGTGAGGAACTGGAACCGATCAATGAGTTTATTCTCAACTTGTTTATCTCGGGCGAGGGTGCTGATTACCGACTAATACTGGGTTCCCCTACGGGAAAATTTCCTCCCCAGGTGTTCAATATCCATAGCCAGATTGCTTCGCGAAGTCCATATCTTAAAGAGTTGATGATGTGTTCTGGATTTGTGTGGTATCAGAAGGAGATCTACGCGACCGCTGCGAGTTCCTTCGTGGAGCCTAATGCCCTTCATCTCGCCTTGCAAAATATCTATGGGGCCCAGTTATTGGGCCAAAGGATGCTCGACCACGACCTTGCCTACTTTACTGATCCAGGAACCGGGAAGAAGATGCGCTTTGCCAATGTCAACCGTAAGCGAATGGACTTTGTTTTGTCCTACATTGCTTCAGCTTCCTTCCTGGATGATAGTAAAATCCTTCGAAGAGGCGTCCAACTTGCTTCAAACGCGATCAATTGGGATACCTTGGAGGTTGTGCTGCATTTCGCAATTTCTGTTTCTAATTTCACGATTGTACCGGGTGTTAATGCCTTTCCTGATGCGCGGTCTGGAGCTTCAACTCCTTTCTCTAATAGGAGTGCTCGTGAATCTGACAGGGGTTGGGTAAATTCCCATGCAGGTTTTGGCAGTATCAATGGACAGCTCAAGGAGGTATGGGTACCGCAGCTCTTAGGTAAAGCACTCCAATTTATCACAGACAACATCCGTCCAGATTTTGAACTCGACTTGGAGGCCCATTCGAAAGATCTACCATCCCGGTTTTGGCAGGATCCATCGCACCTTCGCCCTAGAGCCGATATTACCACAGTGGGTTTTGGCAGCCTTGCTCGCATTGGTGACGGCTCATTCACTCCCGAAGAAAGCACCTTGTCCGCAATTTTTTTCTCTGTTCCTTACAAGATTTTGAAGAAAGTATTCAGCCTTATGAAGTTCAAGGATATCTTGACGGCGCAGTTTGTTAGGGGCGTCGTGAATGAGCGAGAAAAACGTCGTTTACGGACTCTGAGATTCGTGAAGACGAAGGATGAATGCGAAATGCCAGTTACCAAGGCAGATGCTGTTGGCTGGAGAGAGAAGGTGGTGGACTTTGGTGCAGATCCGAACAATAATGAGGTGATTGCTAGGGAGTGGGTTGGGCGAGAGGAGCTGCCGGAAATGGTGTTTGGGCCACGGTGAAAAGCATAGGTGGGCTTCCGCGTTACACTCGACCTTCGGCAGCTCTATTCGGGTTCTTATGTGCTTGTCTTCCAATACCTGCCCGTTTGGTTTCTTCTTTCTCCCCTTCGATATCTCTGTGGATCAGGCGAATGGGCGATTTACAGGCTAGGAGCGATTGTCGATTCGCGTTTTATTTTTCTGTTTTCTGGTGCGGTTAGATTTGATTTTTTGGCGGATTCCTCTGGCTGCCTTTGGGCTTCAATGGCCGTAATTCTTTCTCGACCTCGCGTTAGTTAGCTGTTTCCCTCTAATCATGTGTCTTTCTTTTGTTCTATCTTGCTCCCCCCTTTTTTGTGCTCCTTCCGACTCTGACTGCTGCGCTCTTCGATCTTTGTAGTTGTGGTCAGTTGGTAGGTAGTTTTCAATGAAATCATAGATTCTGTAGTCAGTTTGTTCCTTTGTAGTTACTACTAGTACTTGGAGGTTGGATTACTGGGTTCCAATGAAGCGGGAAGAAAGGGCCATGGATTGTTAAAGATATATATTCTCATTCCCAAGCGAGGGTGCATTTAACCTTGGAAGTGACCCTAAGCCTATTCTTGAAATATCATGGATTCCCCCTTTCTTATCTCACTCTTTTTGTACACGCTGGCACTCTATTTACCAGCATTTAACCCCTAGCATGACAAAAACCCCTGAATCTGAAGATTCACAGTTCAATTGGGCGCATCACAGAATAATCCAAAGACCGAGCCGAGCCAACATCCAAGTATGGGCAATTGGTTTAGTGGTATAATACCCCCTTAGCATCAGATCTCTTCTAGATAGGATCCTGCATGGGGGTGGTCCAGGGTTCGATTCCCTGATTGTCCATTTCTTTTTTGCATTTTTTCGCTCCCATCGCATTTTGTTTTTTAATCTTGTGGCATTGTGGGGAGGATATTTGGTGGTTTTGGTGGAGGTTCTTGGCGGCTGAAATTTAGGTTGGTGGGCGGGGGCTATTTTTAGACAAGCTTATTTTTTTCTGCACTTTCTTCTTCTTCTTCGGAGGGAGTTATTCCGAGCGGTCAAGTCTCCCACTGCCAGTGTTCAATGGAAAGACGACGTGAGTTGTTTTTTTCCCTTGTTGTCCCCGAGCTCCTGAACCACCCATCCCGCGGAGTGGCAGCTTTAAACCCTGGGGTTGATACGAGCGGATAAGCCCGGGACCAACGCTACTAGAAAATCCAACGAACTCGACAGTCCCAATGATGAAGTTGCACTTGCTGACTGACTGACTTCATTCCATCCCACCTTATCCCTCCATCCATATCACAAAGGATAACGCTAATTGCCAACCTTCCCCGCACCTGATCAGTGATCAGTATCCACGGGGACAATTTCTCAATTGCCGATGGCAGGGGATATTCCTTCTCAATAGCCGTCTTCCCCCGCCCTCCGCCCGGCTATCTAAACTGGCTGGCTCCGCTCTATAATCGCCCTACATGGACTCGGCCGACGGTGGCGGTCTGCGTTGGGACGGGGAGGGTTGTACGATGATGGCTGTCTGACATCAACTTCCCCACAGAATGCTACGCGATGACGCCACTGGCCGTGGCAAGCCCACGTTTTTTTTTTTTTCTTTCATGCGCTGTTGTTCTGGAAGCCGTTGGATTTCTTGCATGGAAGGGAAAAATCCTTCTCGGGCAATTTTGCCCTCCCCTGGCGTTTTTATTTTGGCATTTGGCTTTTAGCTTTGGTTTTTGTGGAGAGTTGGTTCACGTTTCTCCCTTTTCCCTGGTGATCCTTGGATGGATTGATGGGAGAGACGGGATGCGATGGGCCGTATACCCTCTTTTTTTTCGGCGCCAGGCGTTCGTCGGTTGCATGTGGCTCTCCAGCTAGGTAGGGGTATGCCGCATGGAAGGGGCCCAGATCTGTCCGCAACGTGAGCGGTCATGAACCGTGGGTTGGACGGTAGGATTGATAGTGGTCCACATCATTTGGATTCTCCTCGGGAGGTTTATCTTTGGAAAGATGGTTCTGTCTAGTCTTCTACAAAAAGCCAAAATTCGGCTCCAGGGCCGGAGTCGGCGTTTATATAAAGAGGAGCCGCCTTGTTCGAGACCCTGGGATATTCGCCTGGACTGGTATCCTTTTTCATCTTTTCTTATCCGGGGTGTGTACATATAGAGAGCTCCTGCACATACACTCGTATCTCTTGTACATTTATCAGTTTCCACCATGAGAGCCCCAGAAGCGAGAATCGCCTCCTCCAGCAAACCGCGGGACGGCCAGGCTCTGGAATCCCTTTCAGACGACATCGATGCCGTCAACGTCCTCAAAGCCGCCATCCGCGAGCGTGGTCTATACGATGCCTCTGAATTCGACAAGGAGAAAGACAAGTCCCAATTCCGCCAGTATGAAGTCGCCTGTGACAGGGTGAAGCAATTCTACCTCGAGCAACACTCGAAACAAACCGTCGCATACAACCTAAAGGCGCGCAATGACTTCCGCGCAAGAACCCGCGCAGAGATGACGATCTGGGAAGCGATGGAGAAGTTGAATACTTTGATCGATGACTCGGATCCTGATACTTCCCTCACGCAGATCGAGCACCTGCTGCAGGCAGCGGAGGCTATTAGACGCGATGGAAAGCCTAGATGGATGCAGTTGACCGGCCTGATACATGATCTGGGCAAGTTGCTGTACTTTTTCGATGCAAAGGGCCAGTGGGATGTCGTTGGTGATACGTTCCCTGTCGGCTGTGGCTTTGATGATCGGATCATATATACCTCTGACTCCTTCCGCGCAAATCCGGACTATGGGCATGAGATTTACGGGACCAAGTATGGGATATATAGTCCTGGGTGCGGGTTGGATAATGTTATGTTGTCGTGGGGCCATGATGAGTATCTGTATCATATCGTCAAGAACCAATCGACGCTACCACCTGAGGCGCTGGCGATGATTAGGTATCATTCTTTCTATCCATGGCATACGTCGGGCGCGTATATGGATCTTATGGATGAGCATGATAAAGGAATGCTGGAGGCCGTGAGGGCGTTCAATCCGTATGATTTGTATAGTAAGAGTGATGATATCCCTAATGCCGAGGAGTTGAAGGTGAGTGCTTACTACTTGCGAGTCTTCCTAGTGAGGATCTGAGTTTTGGCTAATGTGGTGCAGCCGTATTACCTCGAGCTCATTAAGGAGTACTTCCCACAGGAAGTTGTCAAGTGGTAGGTGGTGCTTTGTGTGTGTAGTTAATTTTGCTTCTTGTTTTGATGCGTACTGGCGGGCGGTCCTGATAATGCTGTTTTTTGATTGATTATCTGAAACCGTTGGCGATCAACGATACTCTTGCCGCCCCGAACGAGATGGTTTTGTGTGACTTAACGAAGGAATGTCCATTGAGCCTATCTAGCTTAACATAAGTATCACTGGTTTTATTTCTCCCCAGCAATAACTACTATACTAGGTAAAATGAAAGAAATGGCGACAGGCAGTCTGATGAATTAAAGATTGGGGGCAAAGGTAGAGTAGCAGGGCGCCCTTGCTTAGGTCGCCTTCATACAGGAAACATAAACGAAAGATGGCCATGGATATCATGCTGGGAATATTTTCGCCATAGTAACCCATGGCCTGCATTCGTGATCAAAATGAACCAACGTCGACTCCCATGGCCCATCTTTACTAACGAACAGAGCCGGCTTCGTTCCGTTTCAGGAACTGCCATCGACGCTCCTCAACCTGAATGCTAGAATTTTCGGGATTTGAGTGAGGGTTCGCAGTGACCTGTCATCAAGATCATTGCTAGCGACGTAGTCTTCATCGAAGTTCGGTTCTTCAAGCGCATCAAGCACGAGGCCTGAGCGAAGAAAAGGGGCTAGCAATTCATGGATCGGACGGTGGAAGTGATACTTTCCGCGATAGCAAGATACATATCCAGATATATTAGTGAAAATGCATAGTGATATAAACTGCAGCTGGCCCAGACTTATATAGAGAAGCCATTGAAATTTACCTGATGAACTGGCTGTCCCTTCCTCGCTGCTCCCTTTTGGGGTGGCACATGTAAATATTTTGAGAGTTTGATACTCAGATGTTTCTGCTCGCAGCCAGTTGCTTGATCATCTGAAACCTCGACCAATCTTGTGATACCGGCGGTCATGAGCGGATGCAGGATGGTCGCAACGAAACTGCCAAACTGAGTCAACGGGGGAAGCAATGCAAAAATACATGAATTAACCCCACAAGTTTAAACAGACAGGCAATTTGGGACTATAGAATAAGGAACGTGCGATTCGTAAGACCGGCAAAACTCACCGTCCCGTACCCTTTTTCAAAAGCCTAGGTAGTGCGGCTGCCAATGGCTCAAGCGTCGAGATATCCATAATGGCCATGTTCATTACCACGATATCAAATAGGCCATTCTAACCAAGTAGAACGGTAGAGCAAGTCCCATGTTAGCCGCGGTCACGTATTAGCGCGATAGCTGTGGCAGCCTCGAGCTAGAAAAAGGCGAACAAGCCCTACATTTACCGTCTCTTTCTCTATGAACCGTTCGAAGGCTTCTGAACTCGTAGCATCCAGCAGTTCATACGTTATGGAGTTCATACCCGCCCCACGGCGTTTGGCACATTCAAGCATGGTCCTGCTGCCGTCAGTTGCAATGACTGAGGCACCTTGGGAAGAAAGCCAGCGAGCGGTAAGCCCGTTTCCCGTGGCGATATCCAATGCTCTATCGCCGTCCCTCACGCCTGCCATACGCTGGAGAGCGGGAACTTCAACAATTTTGTAATAGTCGTTCCCATGGTCCCCCATGCCTTCGTCCCAGAACTCGGCATTTCTATCCCATGTAGCTAGTGACTCTCTGGTCATATCCATTCTGGATAGGGCGAAGAGTGAGAAGGATCTTTGCTAGAAGAACAATCTGGCTAATAAATCTCTGCGCTTTTGACGATAGTTTGGAAGAGTATCACTGTCCTGCAATGCGAGTAGAAGGAAAACGAAGCACGAATATTGCGGCCACGCTCATTTTTAAGCGGCGAGGGCTGGGAGCAGTGAGTCATCTCGTATCGGATTTAGCCTGGCATAAATCAATTGGGCTAGGCTGATTAAGTTTAGCCACTCCAAAGTCCGCTGATGATGGGCGCAGCTGTTGATCGCGAAGCAGAAGCATTTTGTTCTGGTGCGCATGGCGGTGGTGGTAAATAACAATGTCCCAAGGTTGTCGTTGGCGCTCTTTCGGTCTTTGGGTTCGGGGTTTTCGGGCCGATGTCATATCACGTGCTTAACTAACCAGCAGTTTAACTTACATAAGCAAGATATGAACGACACTACTCTCGGTCTGTGAGATTGACTTTGCGATGAACATGATATCCGCAAAAGATACGAGTAAGAGAACATATTTCAGTAATGACGAATGACGAGCCCGAATATAGCACGCCCCGCGAACGGCTGGGTGCTAAGGCCTGTACAAATTGCCATAACAGAAAAGTGAGCATCTTGTCTCCTCGATGTGCCATAAACTGCTGGTGACTGTTGAATTTTAGATCCGCTGTGACCTACCAACATCAAATGGACCCTGTTCAAATTGCCAGAATCTGAACCAAGAATGCAGGTTGGTGATGCCCGATGGCATTTTTGATGTATTGCTGATTCGGTAGACCCCATACAAGGAAACGTCGCCGAAAAGTGGAACCGTCAGGGCAGCGACGCATCTCTTCCCATAAAACCCATACTTCACCATTGTCATCTATATATCCATCTGATCCGGGCCCTGGATTCACAGAAAGTACATTAACAGAGCCGCCAAGTTCTGTAACGGCTCCCAAACCAAACAGAACACATGCCGCGACCTATTCAAGCCCGTCTGGCAGTTATCTTGG